GTGGCGGCCTGTGGGCACACACAGGACATTGTTTCCCGAGCCCGTGCGGCCCTCGCTGTGTCTGACATCACCTCTGCACCCTCGGAGCTCCCGAAGCCAGGCCCCATTTCCCTTTCATCATCTTATCGCGCAAACATAATTTTTCATCATTTATCCAGCTGAGCTCAAGATAAATGTCCCTTTCTGGTGACCTCGACCCCGCGGTGGCCAGCTCCCTCTGCCAGCATCGTCCACGCAGCACAAGGCAGAGAACCTCAAGGGTGGGAAAAAGGGAAGCGCGGCTCCCCAGACTCAGATCACTCGGGGAAAACCCGTGTTCTCCCGACCGTCGGTAACTGTCCGGATCGCACAGCGAGCCGCTGTCCCCAGGATGTGTCTCTGACCAGCTCTAGACAACCCCAAAACCAATCCTGCAGCCGGTGGTGTTCTCGGCCCTTGGGCCCCCGACTCCCTGTGGGGTTCCACCTCCAGGGGCTGTGTCTGAGCCGCCCTGACCCCCGTGGGTTCCCGGGCGCCAGAGGCCGAGCTGCCCTCTCCCCCACGTGCCTCCGAAACGCCTCCCTCACTGCGGCAGCTGCGCTGGCCCGGGTGCGGCCACCTGGCCGGGAAGGTCACAGGAGCCCACTAACGGCCCATCCTCTGTCCCCAACATGCCCACCTGCCCAACCAGAGACGGGCTTCGTCTGTCAACGTTTTTGAAACCCAACTTCAGGCACTTAGTCTCCTCAATGATCCCCTGATGGTCTGCTGTCACCGACCAAACCCCACGTCCTCCTCGTGGAGACTGGGGCCCTTCGGTCAGGCTCCACGTGCACCGTGGGCCTGCCACGTCCGGGGCCAGGCCACAGCAGGGCTCTGTGCCTGGGCAGCCGCGCCGGGAGCCCCCCCACAACGCCCTGCTCAGCTCTTCCCAGGGGCAGCTCTCCGTCGCTGTCCCTCGGGCATGACTGGCTGCTCGCCTCACACGTCTGGGGCACGGCCACCACGGGGCCTGCTGCTCAGACTTCAGGCAGGTCTCGGGGCTCAGGGGCTCCCCAGGCTCGGCTCACCGTGTGGCACCGGCAGGCCCCCAGGGAGCGCAGAACGGGACCAACCATCCACACTCCGAGGGGCCGCCGTCGCAGAGGCTCGGAGCGGATGTCAGAGCCCCCCGCGCACCCCCGGCCACGCGAACAAACATGCCCGCGCGGTTCGAGAGCGGAAGTGTCTTCGCAGGGCGGGGAGCTCGGAGAGGAACCGTCCACAGCCGCACCCGCCACAGCCTGCGTTAGGAGCCGGGAGTGGGCGCCGTGCGCTCTGGCATCGGGGACAGGGTGCCCAGACAAGGGATAAGCTCAAGCGAAGGATTTCAAGGGCCCCGCGGCAGGTCGAGGGTCAGGCAGGGCGTTCTGCGGGGCTCAGGGCCTGGCACGTTGCCCCGCTCGCAGCCTTCCCTGAGGGAGACAGAACCACTCGCTGTTCCAGCAGAGACGCTCCACGAGGGACCGAGGCCCGGGAGAGCCCCGGAGGGCCACCAGGCTCCAACGCTGAGCGGCTGCTCATGGTCCCTGAGACCCCGAGAACCCCAGAGAGCGGGTGACTTCCGCCTTCCGCGGGGAGGCTGTGGTGACCGGGGCGCGGCGATGGGTTCACGCGGCTCCCACTGACGTGCGGAGGACCCGTCAGTGGCCGGGGCAGAGCCCAGCCAACCCTGGCCCGAAGCAGACCAGCTACCGCCTGCGACCCACGCCTCCCGCTGTCCCGCAGAGAAGGAACAGGAGTCGAACCTGCGTGAACGGGGAACAGCGCGAAAACCCAAGTGAAGGGACCGTGCCAGAGTTCCATCAGGGTTCGTTCCCGATTTGGTAATTAGACCAGTTCTCAGGAAACAGTCATTTAGGGAAAAGGGATGTGATGCTGCAACTTTCTCTCACGTGGCTCCTGGCCTCGCTGCTGACTGGCGACCGGCTGCGGAGACAAGCACAAGTGCGATCTGAGTGTCAGAGCGGGAAGGTGCTGGTGCCAGGAGCGCACGGGGAGTCTGGATCCCCCCCAGCCCCTGCACGAGCGCTCAACTCTCTGTGACTGGTGCCCAAGGCCACCCAGCCCACGTGTGGGCTTTGATCCTGAGGCGCTGACTGTGGCTCAGCGATCAGGAAGGAACCGGATCTCCCCTCCATCCACCCTGCTCCTCCTGCTAAGCGGGTGTCCCAAGTCCAAGGAAACCACAGAAACCCTACTGCTGTTTACATGGTAAGACCTGATTAGTTTTTGTTTTTGTTTTTTTTTACAAAAGAGGCAGAGGTGATTTGCTTAATTATTTTTGTGAAAAAGCATTATTTTAAAACTTTGAAGGATGAGTTCTGCATTATGAATGTCTTATAAAAATTCTTATTTTAAAATAATTTAAGACTTACAGAGAAGTTAAGAATATACTTTTTATAAACTTCACCCAGATCCACTACTGGTTAACATTTTGCCTCCTTTGCTTTATCTGGGTCTTTGGGCAAAGAGGGAGGGGAGGGGTGAGGGGGGACTGTACCGTTTAGGTGTAGCCCAAGCCACAGGCTAGGCAGATTTCCCTAAACTGGAAAGATAAGGTGTGCAACCAGCAAACCTGTTATTTCAAAATAAACCTTCACTGGCACTCTAAATAAAATATAAAAAATTTATTTATACATTTTAATACATTAAAAAGTTTGTTCCTTATTCTGTTTTAGAGATGAAATCCCCTAGGGACTCCCGGCCGCCTCAGTCGGTAGAACATTTGACTCCTGATCTCAGGGTCCAAGCCCCAGGCTGGATGCAGAGATTACTTAAAGGGAAAAGAAGACGAAGTCCCCTAAAAGACAAGGTCTTTTCACAAATTCTGTCAATACAATAGCGGTTCTCAACCTGCACCACAAGAAGCCCCCAAATTCCATGTATACCCAGCACCGGCCACAGTGTTTTCCAGATGCAGAATGTTACTGTAATACATCTTACTTTTTTAAGATACATTTTATTGCACATGGGATATAATAAACTATGATACTTCAGAGTTAAGTTTTACTTTATCTTTTTTTAAGATTTTATTTGTCAGAGACGGAGTACAAGCAGCGGCTGAGGAAGAGGGAGAAGCGGACTTCCTGCTGAGCAGGGAGCCTGACCCAGGACCCGATCCAGGACCCGGGACTTCGTGCATGTCCTGAGCCAGAGGCAGCTGCTTCACGGAGCCACCCGGCGCCCCACCGTAACAATTTTGAAACCCCGTATGTTTACAAGCAAATCTGAGTTCACAGTGGCTTTTGGTCAAGACACACTCACTGACAGCACACTAACACGTGATAACCCGTGACAGTTCGCTGCTATAAAGGGCTTTTACGCTGAAAAAGGAGAAATTAACGGCCGGCCGGCCATCTAATACATGCCAGACGTGGACGTCAGGAATGAAGTCACCAATTCATCCCATGGCAAAGAGACAGTTTTACTGCTTTGGTAACAAAGACAATATAAAAAGAGGATTCCGTTGACACAAGTTTATCTTCTGCAAAAAGTCAGCCTGCGCAGCCACACCCCCGACTAGGTGAGGGCCGTGTCAGGGCCCGGGGACCGTTCTTCTCAGTCTTAGCGGCTGTCCCCGCCGTCAACGGCCTGCGGGCAGGTCTGCGGGTCGTCGAGGAAGCAGGAGCCTGTGCCGAGCGCAGGTCGACGCTATCGGTAAGCCCACGGTCTCGCTCGAATGACGCACTTTTCTTCCGAGCCCGACCCCGGGACGCAGGCGGCTGTGCTGAGCCCCAGTGGAGGGGGGCACCTGCTCAGCCCCACCAGCTCCCCGCCTGACTCCGGCCCGCAGAGAAAGCGCAGGCTCCCTGCCGGTGCGCTCTGTTCCCTGCGGACGTGACTCAGGAGCAGCTGGGAGATGCGGTGCCGGGCGGCCGGCGGCGGGGCCAGCGAGCTGGGAGAGGCCAGCAGGCCGCTGTTCGTGCTCCTTGTCCGTTCAAGACTTAAACCGTTCGTTTAGGGACACACACGGAGACGCTGCCAATGTCACGTGGTCATTTCCAAACACACGCTGCTGTCGGCTCACGTACAGACGGTGTCTGAACGCCTGCGACAAAGGGGGTTTCCACAGGAGCGGCCCCCCTCGGGCCAGGGGAGCCCCCTGCGGGACAGCGCGCCACTGGCGCTGGGCAGGTGTCAATGCCCCAGAAGAGACTATTCCGTGCACACATGCTGGTAACTTTTCAATAACCTCAGGGGACACTTAACTCAAGTTCGCAGCATTTAAGACAGAGAAGCCAATTCTAAGAGCTGGAGAAGGACAGACATTCGTCGGTCACGACTGACTTTGCACAGACTCAGCCAGAGCCGACTGTACTCGTGGGGTGCGTCTGTCACTAGATGAGCGTTCACGGCTCCCAGGCGGCAGTGCTGTCCCAGTCACTTACTCCTCCCAGGACTTCGCCCAGAGGCCCACCCATCCAGCGTCTGACAGCTCTCTGGTGCCATCCGTGTTGTCGAGTAAAGCGCGGCGTGTATAGGACAGACACACATGGGACGGACACACACGGGACACGCCCCTGCACGTGGGAACCGCAGCTGAGTGCCGGCAGGAAGTTCCCGTCCACACTGCGTGGGACAGGTGTCCACAAGGCTTCGGGCAACCGCTCACCCTCCCCACACGATTGCGTTCCCAACAGTGAAATAATCCATGAGGTATCAGCTACCACATTTAACTAATGGTTTTTGGACTTTAAATCAGTCCATCAAAAAGATAAAAGACCCATCCATTTCTTTATCACTGCACCATCTAGCGGACCATTTATTAAAAATAAGGCCAACACAGGGGCGCCGGGGTGGCTCAGTGGGTTAAAGCCTCTGCCTTCGGCTCAGGTCATGATCCCAGGATCCTGGGATCGAGCCCCACATCGGGCTCTCTGCTCAGCAGGGAGCCTGCTTCCTCCTCTCTCTCTCTCTGCCTACTTGTAATCTCTGTCAAATAAATAAAATCTTTAAAAAAAAAAAAAAAAAAAAGGCCACCACACACATGATCACACGCACCCCGCCCTGTCTCTACTGGAGGACGTGCCCGTGGCCGCCTGTCCTGCCCTCCCTGCCTTCTGCCCTCCCCACTCTGGAAACAGATACGTGAGAACGTTTAAAACAGAAACACAGTATGACCTTGAATTTAAAAATTACCGGAAACATAGATCTCAAGCACAGCAGCCCGTGGCAGAGCCCTGCCACCTGCACACACGGCCAGCGGCGTAACGAGCCTTCTGGGTTTAAAAAGGGCGTTTTCAGAGAAATGAGCACGCCGCTCCGCTCCGCTTCGGGACTACATCGTCAGGGAAGCCTTGCCCTGCAGAGCCTTGGTGGAGAGGTCAGCCCTCGCCCTCAGCCGGCTGGCTGCCTCCGCGCTCGTGCTTGCCGGCGCGCCCCTCAGCAGAAAGTGGCCGATGAAGAGCTTCAGACCTTCTCTCAGCAGGCCCAGCTTCGGGCTGTCGCTCACTCTGCAAGGGGCACAGAAGTGGGCATCAGCGAGGAGCCAGCCTCCCCCGGCCCGCGGCTCCTGAGAACCTCCAACCGGGAGACGGGACCGAATGGCTTTGAAAAGCAGAATTCTCAACTAAGAGCTTAACAGCGCACTCCGCGCTTTAGAGACCGTCACTGCCAGCTGTCAGGCAGCTTCACGTTCCCCCAATCGAACGTAGAAGACACCAGCTTCAAATAAGGTACTAAGCTGTGTGTCGCGTATAATAACCTTGCTTTTTCTAAGTCAACGTAAGTGAAAATAACTTCCTTCATCTCTTCTCCACGTTTTAACAAAACAAGCTGAGAACATACCTTGAAAAAATTGAACCAAGGTCTTCAACTTCTGTTTCCATTAACACAATATATAATACTTTTCGTAAAAAGTGGACTCTGGGTTTATCCAGTTCGCCGAATTCAACTACCTAATTAGAATCAGGACAGAGAAAATAAGTCACATTTAATCAATTTTTTCAGTAATTTCAAAAAGTAGGGGCGTCTGGGTGGCTCAGCGGGTTAAAGCCTCTGCCTTCGTTCGGCTCAGGTCATGATCTCAGGGTCCTGATATGGAGCCCCGCATCGGGCTCTCTGCTCAGCAGGGAGCCTGCCCCCCCACCTCTCCGCCTACTTGTGATCTCTGTCAAATAAATAACAAAAAATCTCAATAATTTCAAAAAGTAGAGTAAAAACTCACCCACCCCTTTAAGTAAGGCTGTTTCCAGCTACAGAAGATGGAAGAGCTATGGGCGAGGCCGTGTGGCCACGGCCTCTGTGCCCTGCTGGAAGGGGCATGCACGGCACTGTCCAGGGCAACCTTCCCTGGATGGAGTTTCCGTGAATCAGGAATTTAATTCTAGAATTGAAACATACGTATCTCCAAGCCTTAAAGAAACTACGCCCTAATTAAAACCGTACATAGAAAATTTGGATCTAGAAGAAAATCACTCATATAATATATATTCCCTAAGAATCCCATATCAATTTTGGTACACTTACACAGTGGACTACAGAAGTGCTAAAATCAGAGAAGAGAATCCCAGATTTCAACGTGGCTGTGTTTCAGGCTCGTGCTGACTTACTGAACTGTGAGGGGCTATCTGGAACGTGGGGCTAGGAGACTGTCATCCACACGGAGGGGGACCGTGTGTGAAGTAAGAGGGCCGGCCATCTGCGGGAAGAGTTCCAAAGCATGCCTGTGGGCCAGAGAGGCCCCTGGGAACGGCGGGTGGTGGGAGAGCGGAGCGAGGGCTCTGGGACAAGCTTCAGGGACAGCTCCGGGTTCTAATGAACCTGGGGAATGACTGTACCCTCTTCGGTTCGGAGCTCAAAACCCAGTGAACTGAGGGCAAGATCTAGCCGCGACGAGAAGGCAGCCCCTCCACGCTTTACAGTGCTCCCGTGTTTGCAATGTGGCGTAAAGCTCAGTGGCCCAAACCTAGTCCCACACCCCGGAGAGACACACAGTGACCCCATGTCAGCGCCCTGGTGGATGGCCACATGCGCAGAAGTGGGAGATGGCGCCTGCAGTCCGTCTGCGGGTCAGGGAGCAAGAGGCACAGAAGCCCAGGCCTGTGCATTCTCTGGCCCTCAGATTCCCTCATTGTCCCCGTTTTTATGCCCAGGCCGTGGTGGTCCCGCTGTCCAGGTCTGGCGGCCACCTCCGACCCCACATGCTCTGCCTAGGTTCCCCCGTCCACTCCAGACCAACAGCACAGCATGTACATCTCACTGGCTCTGATGAGACGCAGAAACATGGCAGGGCTGGGGTCAGGGGCGGGGCACCCACCACGAAGGGAGAGGCGACCACGGAGTCCCGAACCACAGCTCACCTGCTCCTACGCCTCCCTGTCCTCCTCCCCGCTTAGCAGCAGCCAGTGGGGGATTTAGAACTAGGACCTGCACATGAAGCCAAAGTGCAAGTGAGATTCTCAGAGATGAGCAAAACAACTGTACCCATGCCTTGTTCAGAGCTACACCTACACTGCAAGCCACTCTGGCTACTTTCTAGGACGGCTAGGACGTGATAAACATACATCCCCAGTGAATTAGAATCTAAGGACGTGCGTTTTCTTGAGGTACTGGATATGAACAATCACGCTACCATTCTCATCGCTTTTAATACTTTCATCCAAGATACAAACCTTTAAAATAGAAAGCGGAAGTGATTTCGTCTTCAACAAGTGGGCTACCAGGTGAACCAAATTAGAGAAATTAGTGGCTGGCAAATTTTCCAAGTCCCGAAATTTATCCCATATGCTGAACTGGAAAGTCATCTGATGGGGGAAGAAAAAAAAGAGTTAATGCGGGCCGCTGTTAGAACAAGTCGCCAAGACGTAATCCAGACGTATTCTACTGCTCATTTACTCAGAGCGGTGTCCGAGTCAGGACGAGCCTGGAGCAACGTGGCCTCCTTCCCTGCACACACCCCTTCCTGTCCTGCCACAGTAGCTTCTTTCTGTGGTGGGTTTTCCCCTCTAATCGGCAGAAATGCTGAGAAAGATGAGAAGGCTGGTGCCATCTAAGATCAAAAAGGCACTCCCCCGGGGACGCAGGCTGCACGACACCCTCCTCTGAGACAGGAAAAGGGGTCCTGGCACTCCTTTGCCCCGTCACTTGGCCTCCATGACACCCACCTGCTCTCCCTGAGAGAGAGCCTGGCTGCGGGCATGGGTCCTGGAATCGTCCCCCTGCACACGGCACTCAGCGCAGGCTAAACGTCTCACTTGGGGTGCTCATTCTGGGTGGGCTGAGCCAGATGATGTCCAGGGAAATAGTGGAGCACAGGTGACTGGTGGGCTGCTAGTGGGCTTACCTGGAACCTTCTCTGGTATTCACAGAACTTGCCAGCCAGGAACGCGTAGAAAGGGTTGTAGGTTTTCTCTTGAAGGCAGCAATCCACGAGAACGTGAACGATCTCCCGCTCCTGCTGGTCCTTCAGCCGCAGCCTGCAACGCAGAGGACACAGAGACTGCGGGTCAATCTCTCAGGAGGGCGCACCCTGCCTGGCAGTCTGGCTCAAGGGGAAGGGAGGAGAGTAGTGGGAATCACAAGACAGGAACGGTGGGCAGGCCTGTCCTCGTGCCTGCGTACTCTGCATTTGAAGCCCATAAAGGAAAATTAGCATCCGATTTGTTGAGAAGTATTTTGTGAAGGTACACGGGTACTTTCAAAATCTTTTTACAACTAATTACAGAAACTATACCAGGAACTTTTAAATTTAGAAGTCATCAGAAACACAGCCTCAATATGAGGATTTTTTTAAAAAATATTTTTTAATTTATTCATTTGACAGACAGAGATCACAAGTAGGCAGAGCGGCAGACAGAGAGAGAGGGGGAAGCAGGCTCCCCTCTGAGCAGGGAGCCCGACGTGGGGCTCGATCCCAGGACCCTGGGATCATGACCTGAGCTGAAGGCAGAGGTTTTAACCCACTGAGCCACCCAGGTGCGCCCGATATGAGGATTTTAAGTAAATTTATAACCAACCACAGACACTGTGACTGATCAGTTGGTCAGCTGAGACTTTTAATCAAAATATACTGTAAAATGTTTCAATTTGGGCAATTTGGGACCACCAGTGGCCAGTACAGGAGCAAGACTGGACCCACAGCAGGAGGGGAGAGAGTACAGTCCAGTTGTCCCGAGCAGCATCGACCTGACCCTCTGTAAAACCAACCGTGCTGATTTCTTCGACAACATCTGATCACAGTGTCTGCACTAATGCTTACTTCAGAAGCTTCTCAAACGCGTCCAAGAAATCTTCACTTGTCATCACTGTACAGAATATGTTCCTTCTGACATCAGTGTTCATTCTCTGCTTTCGGGCGAGTTCTAGTATCTTCCCACTAACCTGAAAGAGGAGCAATTAAGATCACATCGATGTTTCAAGGAGAAGTTACTCTGATTTACTGTGGTTACCAAGTCTCTACAAGACAACACGTATGCTTCCCTGGCTTATACTGAAGACTAATTCTGAGTTACATGGAAATACACTTATGTGTGAATGCTACATCTTTATTCTCTGGTGCGCTCCCACAAGGGAAAACCGGCAATACCGGCACGTATCAGAGAGAGGAGGCCACAGCCAGAAGAGGCAGGACGAGGTGTGTCATGGGATCCTGAGACCAAAAAGGGTGATCAGGGGAAAATGAAGGAAACCTGAATAATATAGGAACTTTAGTTAATAATCAAATACCAAGAAATGAAGAATTCCGACAATCTGAAACCCAAGTCTAATGGACGGGAAGCCACACCTTGTGGGAACACCTGTCCCTCAGGACCGGCATCTGCAACCCGAGGGTTAGGATTTTCCCAGGCTCTCCTTGTTCCATTCAGCTTTTAAGTCCTTTATGTACACTATTTTGGGACTTAAAAAAACTGTTAAAAAGAAACCACAGAAATTGAGTGAAATCCTATCCCAAAACAGTAACAACTTCTGTAGGGTCTCTGAGGAAACCCATGCCTGTATGTCTCATAACCATGCAACCAACCGGGGACTCCCGCAGGGCCTGCCGCGGGACACCAGGGGGACGGTGCAGGGCTCTCATACCGTCCCCGAGGGCGGCTTCTCTGTGACCTTCTGCTGACTGTTGTCAATCATAGGGGCCCCAGTCCACGCGGACCCCACGATCCACCAGCGGCCGGTCTGCTCGGCGTTCAGGATGCCATCCCAGGAGATGCGGAGCTGAGTTTCGGCGCCCGAGCCGGCGCTGCGCACCTGAGAGAAAGGAGCAGGTGAGACACTACAGCTGGCTCACAGTCTGCACTGTAGCCACCTCGGGTGTTTTCTTTTTCTTTTTTAAAGATTTTATTTATTTGACAGAGATCACAAGTAGGCAGAGAGGCAGGCAGAGAGAGAGAGGGGGAAGCAGGCTCCCTGCTGAACAGAGAGCCTGATGTGGGACTCGATCCCAGGATCCTGGGATCATGACCTGAGCCAAAGGCAGAGGCTTTAACCCCATGAGCCACCCGGGCACCCCCTGGAACTCTTTTTTTAAAAGGATTTATTTACTTTAGAGCAAGAGAGTGCAGGCGCCAGCAGGGGGAGGAGCAGAGGGACAGAGACTCTGAAGCTGCCTCCAACTGCTCCCGACGTGATCTCACCACCCCGAGATTGCGACCTGAGCTGCAACCAGGAGTCAGCTGCTCAACCGACGGAGCCCCCCAAGCGCCCTCTTGGAATGATTACTAACCAGACATGGCACCTGACTTCCAGCTCTGACCGCCTTCAGTTTCACAACGAGCCCATGTGGACAGGGGAGCTCACCAGGGGCACCGGGGCAGCTCCGTCGCTCAAGCCTCTTGACTTCAGCTCAGGTCATGAACCCAGGGTTCTGGGATCGAGCCCTGCATCAGCTCCCTGCTCAGCGGGAAGCCTGCTTCGCCCTCTACCCTACCCTCTGCTTGTTCTCTAACAAATAAAATGTTGAAAAAAGAAAAGAGCCTCACCAACGCTCTCTGTAACTTCCTGAGCTTCTCCACAGGCTCAGGGTCATAGCCCGGGATCTTCCGCACGTCATTGTTCTTCAGCGCCAACATGGTCTCCAGCATAAACCGAACCTGTAAGGAAACAAAACAGAAGAAACCACGGTTTCAGAGCCCCAACAACAGACCCTCTATTCTGGGAAGAGCCACATCGGCCACATACAAGGTCGCTGCTGCTGACGGTAAACCGGTGATGGTTTTCTGGGGAGAGAGTCGCCAACATGAACCTCTTGCTCAGGACCACATCTCAATACGACTGTGCCACCTGGCCTCCGCCGGGACCCTGAGCACCCCGAAATCTGACGTCTTCTCCTCCGCCCCCATCACCTCTGACCCACCCCCGGTGTCCATCACGCCCCCGTGGTCTTAGTTCTGCTGTATTCCAACTTCTTCCCCGTGCCTGTCCTTTTTACCTTTTTAACTTTCAAAACTGAAAATATCCTAATTAGGAAAAGTTGCGAGAACGATAAAAAAGAATTTCTGCATACCCCCCTCTGAGCTTCTCCCCACCACCACCTACTTACCTCTACCTAACCCGCCCAATGCAAAGCTCCCGTTTAACAGCGCACCCTGCTCACAGTCGGGGTGTGCAGCTGCCATGGTCAACGTCAGAACATCTTCATCATCCCCAGAAAGAAACTCCACGCCCACTATGGGCACTCCCCATCTCCCCAACCCCAGGCAACAGAGGCTCCTTCCTGCCTCTGCTGTCTTCTGTGTTTTAAACTTGGCCTCAGAGCATTCAACCCAGGAACAAGTGCTTCCTTGGGACACTCTGGGACCAGGCTCCAGGAGCCTCGTCCTGCTCTCCCTCCCCTAAACAACGCAGCTGAATGCCGGCGCTCCGTCCGCTCCCCACTGGACCCCAGCGCTCCCCAGCCTGTGCAGCTCTTGGGATCGCACCCCTTCGTGGGTGACCCCAGCACCTCATTTCAGGATTTCCGAAGCAGCCTGTCTTTCCTCCTGAGTCTGTCTCATTCTACTGTCCTGCCATCCACCAAGGGTAACCCTGGCCCTGCCTGTCCTTCATACTGCTTCTCCCGCCAGCCCACGCCATCTGCTCACTCCTACCTCCTAACCCCACAGCCACTGCTGCTATGCTAAGGTTCCCTGCCAGAGTCCAAGGTGGCCTCTCCCTGCCCTGCCCTCCTCCCCCTCTTCTTGGTGTGGTCGAAGTGCCATGGAAACAGCATACATCATTTACCTGGCTCAGAACCATCTGTGCCTCTAGGATAAAATCCCAGGCCCCTGAAAAGGTTCACAAGGCCTCTTGAGGCCAGCCTCCGCCCGCCCCTCCTGCCCTGCTCCCCTGCGGGCTCCCAACACCAATACTTCTCGTTTCTAAAGTGACATCCTCTCCTCTCTTATAGGCTTCCCACGGCTCGCCTGTGCCTCTCAAGCAACTGGCAGATGAGGTAGGAAGCACAATCAGCCCCCACTTCCTCGATGGGGAAACCAAGGCTTGGAAGACTCAGGGCCCATCGTTGTTAAGCAGCAGGGCGGAAATCCAAAAGCGCTGACGCCTGAGGCCCGTGCCATAGCCTTCCTCAGGAAAACGCTTTCTGAATGGATAAATGTTAAAGAAACTGATTCTTAAATTCACAGAATATCTGAGTCCTTAGAAGAAAAATAGTTCTTTCACATTCTGGTGATAAAGCCACAAAACCCGATGAGGCAAAAAACAATGGGGATCGTGAAGAAATTACATGTGATTTTACCCCAAACACTTATTTTTAAGCTCTGGTCAGCGTGTGAGCACCCGGGCACTCAGGAGCAGGTCAGGCTTACCCTGGTCTGGTCCTGGAACTTGCCGCTGGCCGCGCTGGCTTTGGCCTGGGCCTCCACGATCAGTTCCTTGAGTGACAGAGCATCATCTTTTCTCAACGAGAAGCCCACGGTTTTCAGCATTAACAGGGTCAGTTCAATATCTTTTTCTGTGAAAGTCCCAATAAGCTTCTTCAAAATGTCAAAAACCAGGCAAGCGTGCACCACGTGGAAGTTATACAAATGCGCGATGATGGTGAGCAGGTTCTCGCACTCCTTCCCTTCGCCTCCGTTCTTATAGACGGCGTCAAACCTCTTCACCACGGCCTCCAGAAAGTGAGCACCGACCTGGACAAAGACAGCAGAGAGAGTGTCACTGTGAACACGTAAAAGTCAAACATTAGAAAGGTCTTCGCAGAGATCCTTCTTCCTTCTTCAACAAAACTTAAATGTATGTTGAAAAAAACCAGTGTTTTTTTAAGTTAACCCACAAAGCGTACACGCAGCAAGGTATAAACTCCAACACGGCGTGAACGTTAAGCACTGAAGTCTGAACGGACAGCATGAGGCCGCAGTGACCGACGACATAAGGCGACCTGCTGTGGCTCCCAAACCCCGAAGAACGTCCTCTGGTCTTTAAAATCAACAAGGTCCTGTTTTTGGCCAACAGCATTCTGACGCCTTAAAAAACGAAAATTATTAAAACTGTCAAGAACACATGTACAGCTCTAGGAATGTCCTGCTGTTCGCCACCCTCGTCTCTCTGGCCTGGAGGAGGCCAGAGGGGCCTCTGGAAGGGCCAGAGGCAGGGGCTCAGCGCGGGCAGGAAGTGATGTCGGCGCACTGGCCACGGAATGAGCACTGAAACGTGGACGAGGAACCTGAGGGATACAGCCTTCTCCTCCTCCTCCAACCATCATACTGTCCAGATGCGACCTGCAGGGAGATCAGAGCTCTGCAGACAGCAAGACGAGGAACCTGAGGGATACAGCCTCCTCCTCCTCCTCCAACCATCATGCTGTCCAGACGCGACCTGCAGGGAAATCAGAGCTCCGCAGACAGCAAGACACACTCAGGCATAAAACATACTTAGGTCTGTCTTCAATCACACGAGCGGAATAATTACGTTAACATTCGTCAAAACTCTACATTCCAGGTAATATCTTCAAAATAAAATATAACCTAGTACGACTTTTACTTTTTTTAAAAAGATTTTATTTATTTGACAGAGAGAGAGATCACAGGCAGGCAGAGAGAGGAGGAAGCAGGCTCCCTGTTGATCAGAGAACCCAACGTGGGGCTCGATCCCAGGACCCTGAGATCATGACCTGAGTCGAAGGCAGAGGCTTTAACCCACTGAGCCCCCCAGGCGCCCTCGATTTTTATTTTTTAACGTGTTATTTTTTTCAGTAATCCGCACACCCATTGTGGGTGTGGTTCCATGCTGGATCCCACAGCCCCGAGATGATGGGTCGCACGCACCACTGATGGAGCCAGCCAGACCCCTTAGGGTAACACTGAAAAACAGGGAGAACATTCCTGCTGCTGCAGTTACTGAGGAACATACGTGAATTCGGGGCGCTCGGGTGACTCCGTCGTTAAGCGTCTGCCTTCGGCTCAGGCCATGATCTCAGGGTCCTGGCATTGAGTTCCATATCGGGCTTCCTGTTCAGTGGGGAGCCTGCTTCTCCCTCTGCCCCCACCCCCGACTCGTGCTCTCTGATAAGTGAATAAATAAAATCTTTAAAAAGAAAGAAAAGGTACATTAATTCTGACTTGGGGAAGTTAACACAGATCTGTGCACACCTATTTTTATTTCTAAACGACTCAGAAACAGCTCAGTAACAGACAACACGGGCTTCGTAACAGACTCTCCTTCCGTGAATTCCCGTGAGAAGGTTTTTCTCAGGGAGCTTTGGGAGGTGTAATGGCACCAGTGCTGAGGGCTCGCTGCCCGCCGGGAGAAGTGCTAGTGCGCTACTACTGCTAGTGCTATTAACTTAGGCTAGTGCGCCTCGTTAGCCAACTGCCATGACGGCTTCCCGCAGCATGAGTCATTTCAGGTGTCCTTTGTGCTCCTGGCGGAGGCGTGAATGAGAAGCAGGATCCGTAACCTCCGCTGTTCAAGTCCACGAACCCCTGCATGTTGTACGCGGCAGGGCCTGCAGCACGGACTGTCGCTCCGGCTACTGTCTCTGGAGAAGCCTCTGCAGTACGGAGCAGCAGCGTGATGCGGGACGGCAGGGGTCCCACGGAGGCTCCCTGACAATGGCAGTGGGCCCTGGCACTCCCGGGTCCCCTCCTGGTGGGACGGCGTCCAGTGACTCCGTTATACCTCACCATGAAGAGAAGGGACTCACGGTGTCTTACGTGAACACGAGGACGGCTCTTAGAAAAACAGCTGCTTCGGAAGCGAAGATTCTCCAAATCACCAGCACAGACGTCAGGGAGGAGAGTCATGTGCTCTGAAGATTTGGGGCCTGAACCTCTCTGTGTCCCGCCCAGTGCCCAGAAGGTCCTGGAACCTGCACCTTTCAAACCTCGCCCACCGTGACTGCTGCTGGACGCGAAAGCCTGGTTCCAGAGGTCGTCTGCGGAGAACAGGCAGCCCGCAGGGGCGGGACAGGCGGGAGGAGCGCCGTCCCACCTGAAAGCATCCTCCCGCATCAGGCAGAAATTAGGACGACTAACCATCCTTGCCCCAGCACTTCCTCCTGGCCACACCCCAGAACGCGCTCGCTGCCTGCAGACCGCGCTGAACCCCCCCGCGCGGGAAGACGCCGGTGCAGAGCTCCCGGTGATGGTGACCCCGTGGCAGCCCCAGGCAGCATCTCCCCGGAGGCACACCGCTGTCACTGCAGAACCTCTAGTGGCGTGAAGGCCACGGAGCCCGGCCAGTCTGTGGCTGCTAGGGAGAACCCGCACAGGCCTGCTGTGCGAGACTCAGGGAGTTCTGGGTGCAGCGGACCAAGACAATGGGGGGGGGGGCAGCGTGCTGCCAACAGCTCCAGAGCGCTCTGCGGCCGCCCACCTGCCCTCCTGGCCCTGCTGGGACCTGCGAGGATGGGCGGAAGGGGGGCACCCGTGTGCAGACCTGCCCCAGGGGCCAGGCCGTCCACCGGGTTTTGCTGCTGAGGCCCCTTCCTGGGACGAGGGTGATGAGAAGGCAAAGAAACCAAAACCTCCAGGAGAGATCCTGCCCCACAGAAAGCCCCAAAGGGTCACTGAGTCCTTCTGAGTATGAATGTCACCCGGAACTATGAGGCCCTACTCACCAATCGTCCGTTCGTTCCCAGGCCTCAGTATGAACGTGTGCGATCAGAGCGGTTTCCTCCAACGACCCTGGGACAGGCTACCCCCGCGGGAACGGAACACCGCCTGGGAGGCTGGCACTCACCATATGCAGTGACAGAAAAGGCCTTTTTTATCAGAGCCAGAGTGGGCACCACATGGCCTCCCTGGGGTGAACCCAGAGGCCGGCAAGCGAGGACAGAGCACACGACGAGCGGGGACAAGTCCTCCCTCAGTGGCAGCTCTCTGGTACCCGGCACCGTGCAGGTGCTCCCTGTGCGCTGCTCGAATGAGTCCCCACACGGGCCTGCTTCACACACCAGGGCGCGGGAAGGTCTGGGCCCACCCAGAGGGGGCGCTGGTGGCTCCAGGCCTCACCCCTGTCACGTGTCCCCCTCGCTGGCTTCAGTCTGGGTCTACCTCCCAGGCTGCTGGCCTCACTGACGAAACACTGATCTCCACCCGGCACGGACACCGGAGCAGCAAGCCCACACGCGGCACCGCGTTCAGAGAGTCTGAGACCAGTCCCTGCTGCAGGGGAAATACAAAGAAAAGACCAGAGCCTGTGCGACACACGGCCCCGGGCAGGGCGCCTACCTCGACCCCGACCGTGTGGTGAAGGGTGCTGAGCACCAGCACGGGCTCCATCACCAGCCGGCTGGGCATGGCAGTGTCGGGCGCGCAGGCGCTCAGGACGACGCCTGTCAGGGTGTCGTTCATGTCCTTCCTGCTGTGGGCCATGTACAGCTCCTCCAGCTGCCCGCTGATGGAGGCCACGCTCGGCTCGCTCAACCTGCAGACGGTGGTCAAAGCAGAGGGGCGGTGAGGCCTCACCCAGGACGGATGCATTCAGTTGATTTACATCAATGGAAGTCATTGATACTCCCGCTGCCCCGTGTCATGCACACATCTAACCCGTGAGCGGTTCTGATCTCGCCCTGGTAACCTAACGTGTACTGTGTGTCCTCGCACAGAATCCTCCCTCTCCACCTGAAGCGTGGCCCCGGCGAAGCCCACGGAGACCGTCAGGACGACACGCCACGTATAGCCTGGTCCAGCGTCCCAGGCAGAGGCAAGGAAGCAGCCTTACTTCGCACATCAGGCGTGCTGCTGGGAAAAGTGCAACGTCTCCACTTTCTGGTCTGTGGCCAGCACAAGTTCCTAGTTCCCACACGGAGAAAAGGTTGCTCCCTTGCTGCGTAGAGGGGAAGAGCGGGTAGGGTGCACAACCGCCACCTTACCCGTGCCGACACTCAGCACTTGCACAGCATGTTGGGGGAGGGTCTAGGATGTACGCTGTTCTGTTTTTGTCGTTCACTTTTTTTAGGGGTAGTTGGGGGGCTCAGTTGGTTAAGTATCTGCCTTCGACTCAGGTCATGATCCCAAGGTTCTGGGTCCGAGCCCTATATTGGGCTCCCTGCTCAGTGGGGGAGTCTGCTTCTCCCTCTCCCTCTGCCCCTTACCCCGACTTGTATGCACACATGTGCACTCCACTCCCTCTCTCAAATAAACAAATAAAATCTTAAAAAGTTTAAAAAAATATTTACTTGAGAGAGACTTCAACTGCACGTGGAAGTGAGTGCAGGGGGAGGAACAGTGGGAGAGGAAGAGAGAATGTCAAGCTGACTCCTGTGGAGTGCAGAGACTGATGTGGGGCTCGATCTCAGGACTCTGAGATCACATCCTGAGCGGGAATCAAGAGCCGGGACGCTCCACCGACTGAGCCACCCAGGCATCCAGGAAACCGTGATCTGTTTTCATTAAAAACAAAGCAGTGGGGTGTGGGAGGCGGGGTGGGGGGGTAGGTGGGGGGAGGAGAGGACTGGGTATGACCACAAAGGCTAGCAGGAGCCACGTGGTGCCGGGACGGGTCCCGCCTGCACGTGTGCGACCCGGAGGAATGAGCAAGGGGGCTGCACGCCGCATTCCTGAGCCAGAGCGCCATGCGGGGGGAGGACAGGCCCTGCCGGCCCCTGTTCCTGGGACTTCTCAGAACAACCACGTGGGCACCTGCGTGGCTTTCGGACCCTAAAGGGTTCAAAGTACCAAGTGGAAAAGGTGGGCTTCCTGCTTTTCAGGGTACAGATCACAGGAACAGAGAGGGGCAGACCAACCACCATGCCCCCTCCCCCATCGCTTACAGTCTAATTCCAGGCAAAGTTTCTGTAACTTTAGGAAACACACGAGCTCTTGGCACGGCTCGGGATGGCAATGGGTGAGTTACCTGTTGATCAGACCTTTGACGTGTTTCTGCAGCCTCTCCAGGCTCTCCCTCTGACCACTCGCTGTTTCCTCAGCTTGCCTCACGTGAGGGGGGATGTGCTCGCCCTGGTCTTCACAGAGACTCTGCTTGAAAGGACAGAATTACAAAAAGTTTACGTCAACAAGTTCCTCTTCTCTGCTTGCTATGTTCACGTTTCCGCCGTAGAGTCCCAAGGACCGCCGGAAGCTGTAACGACCAACCACCGAGGCTTAACGCCCCTCAGAAATGTGCTGAGCGCCGTGGGGAGTCCTGAGTGGGGGTCACTGCTGCCCGGAGGGTCAGCATCTTCTCTGCCTTGTGACTTCAGGCCGGCCGCACCTGAGCCCTCCATCCTGCACGAGCCCAGGCTTCCCTGACAGCCCGCCCAGCAGCTCACATGCACATCGATCCCGTGCACCCCAAGTCTGGAGGGAGAGTGTCCTAAAGTGACTCCAATCTCGTCCAAAGCATCTACGGACACGTGGCAGAATCCGCCCGGCACTCACTATCCCTAGGTCCGCCACGCGGGGGCTACACGTCACTACTCTGACCCACACTCCCCGGGGCCCCGAGTGGGCTCTGGGAGACAAACACGGCGGCATGATCCACGCCGTCAGGGGGTTACGCGGGACTGGGGAAACCACATTTATGCACCCAGAAACCGCGGCTCTCGTGACCCCCGTGAGCTCAGGCCGCACGTGAACAGACCTTCACAGGCTGTGAAAGCAAAGCCAGGACGCGACCGAGGCTCTCGGAGAGGGCGCAGACCACCACACACCTGCGCGGGGCACATGCCGGGGCAGAAAGCGGTCACCGCGAGACGTGCGCAAGAACGTGCGTGCGGTCCCGACTTCCCCTCCAGCTGCCGGCTGAGGGCACCGTGTGAACAGCGAGGCGCAGCCCGGGAAGGCCTCGCTGCTCTGCCCTGGATCCTGACTCCATCTTCGGTGCACGACCCTACCCCAGGGAGCGCGTCCGATCGGCTGTTTCGGATGCGCCGCGGGAGCAGCCGGACGGGAAAAGGAGAAGGACTCGGGGAGGGCAGAGCCGCAGCGGTGCTGCAGGCCTCCCGCACCTCGGCGGCCGGAACAAAGGGGGCGGGGGTCCAAGTTGGCTTCGGACACCGAGCGGAGAGTCCACCTTAGCACAACCAGGGGGCGGCCACCAGCTTTCTGGGATGAAAAGATCTTTAAGGATGTTTTCTCCCGGAGCTGCTCTATGTGGGATTACAAACACAACAACCCGATTCGCCACACGTTGGCTGGACAAGTGCCAGCACCTCGGCGGGCCGCCTCGGCCCCAGTCTTGCCACCCCCTCCCTTCAGGCAGAAGGCAGAGAACCGAGCTCCCACCGACCTGGTCCGCTGCGTCAGAGTCCTCCGGGGCAGGCTCCCTCCTTCCGTCGGCGAAACGGACTCTCCTTTCGCTCCTTCCGCCCGCGGCTCGCCCTTGCGGGGCTTGTTGCCCGTCGTCGTCCACGTCCGCTTCCTCGGTCTCTGCTCCGGTTTCTGCTCCCGGCCGGCCCTCTTCTTCCTCACCCTCGTGCGGCCCTTCGCCCTCGGTGCCGCTGTCGGGCAGCGTCTGTCCAGCGTCCTCCTCCTCCTCCTCGTCCTCCGCACGGCCGCCTTCGCACCAGCCGCCGTTGTGTCCGGGCTCCAGGGCCCCCAGGAGGTAGTCGAGCCCATCCCGGGCGAAGCTGAGCGGCACGGAGCTCCCGCCGCCCTTCCTCTTGCGCTTGTTCAAGCCGAGGCGCCGCTCCAGCTTCCGGATCTCCCGGTCCTCCTCCTCGTTGGCCGCCAAAAGTGCTCGTTTTCGAGCGGCAGCGGCGGCTGCAGAGGGCCTGGGGGTCCCGGGGGGACCTCTGGGCTCGGGGCGGGCCCGGGCGCCCTTGGCCTGGGGAGGTCGCAGCCCCTCCGGCGGCGGCGGGGCCCGACAAGGAGACGGCCGACCGCCCGCCCCCGCCGCCCCCGCCTCCCGGCAGCCTCTCGTTCCCCCGGCTCCGCCGCCGCCGCCGCCCGCACGCGGGCCCTGCGCGAGCCCCGCAGTCCTCCGCAGCCGGCGCGCCTTCCTCAGGTGCCGCTTCTCCTTCCTCAGCTCCCTGCGGCTTTTCCTCCCGCCCGGCCGCACGCGCCCGCCCGTCGGGGGCCCCGCGGCGCCGCCGGGGATCTCACCCTCGGAGCTCGCCTGCACGAACTCCTCCACCGCGAGCTTTAGCCGCTTCAGGGCCCCCTCGGTGCCATCCCCCGGCCCGCGGCGTACCCCGCGCCCGTGCTGCCTGTGGGGTCCCCGCCCCCGGCGGCCGAGCCGGCGCGCCGCTCCAGCGCTCGCGGACGCCGCCATTTTCCCCGGCTGCTCCTACGCCGACTTCCGGTCGGGGCGGGACTTCCGGACAGAGCGGGCGCTGTGCGGGGCAGACCGGCGCCCCCTGCTGGCGGGAGGGCGGCAGCGCAGGGAACCGCCCGGGAACGAACAGCACCTGCTCTCGGAGCCGTGTGCGGAGCTCACAAATACGTGCTCATCTAATGCAGGACACCTTACCGCTCGCGGTGAAGAGGCCTCTTGGCGACCTGCCGCAGGAGTAGGCGTCGTTGTCTGCAGTGGGTGACTCTTCAGACGCGCTTGCATCTCCGCATCCGTAGGGAGAATATTAGTGCTGTTTTCTGTGCATTTTACCGGGAAACTTCAGCCGAGCTTGTTGTTCTGAAAGTTGCTTCTCTCACTCAGCCTCAGGCCTCGGATCTCCCACGTGCCGCGCAGCGGCTCACCTCATTGTTTGGTAGGGTGGCCTGGCTTCCTGGGGTGCCGTTCCATGGTTTCTCTATCGGTACACCTGCCTGGGGAGCAAGCATCCCTGACCGCCAGAGGCTGGGAACGTGGCCTTATTGGAAATAGGGTCTGTGCAGCTGTAATCAAGAGGAGGTTACACCTGGAGCGAATATAACACTGTATCTTAGTTATCCTTCAGTTAAAAAAAAAAAAAAAAAAAAAGGTAAGAGGAGGTTTTCCTGGATTTCCTAGCGGGAAGTTGGGACGCACGGGGAGAGGGTCACAAAGAAGCAGCTATACGCCAGGGAGCGCCAAGATTTGCGGGAACCGGAGGAGCTGGAGGAGTTCTGGAACAGATTCTCTGCTTGAGCCCCGGGAAGAAAGCAGCCCGGCCTGCACCTCAGTTTCCCACGTCCAGCTTCAGGACGGAGATGAGGAATTCCTGCTGTTGAGGAAACGAGTACAGCCCATGGGAAGGAGGCACGTGGAAGCACCCAGGGCCTGCTGGTGAGCAGGAAGGAAAAGCTTTGGAAAGAAAGGACAAGAGTCACAACCAAATAAAAGTTCAGAACTCAGGGTGCTCAGCAGCCCGGGCTCTGGGGCTGGGGTTCAAACCCTCACCTCTCCGCTTCCCAGCTGTGTGAACTCACGGAGTCTCAGTTTATCTGCAAAATGGGCGGATGATAGTGCCACGCACCGGGCTGTTGTAAAGGCGAACGGAGTTTTACAAAGTAACTTCCTCGTTTCGTTTTCATGGTGCAATTTGCTTCCCTCTTGCTGTCCCCCAGGGCCTCTGCCAGGCTCTCCGTCATCAGTCTGTCCCATCCTCACCCTTGTCTGATGCTGCTAGTGGTCTCCTTTCTCATCTTTATTTGGGGCTGCGGTGCTCCCCATGCCTACCTGTGAGGGCTTGTTCTCCTGGGCTACAGACACTGGGAGTGAATGTGTCGAAGGCTGAAGGTAGGAGCCTTCAGGGCGGAGAGACGCCGTGTTGTCAGCTGGTGCAGGTCACCAAGCTCCTAGAGAAAAGTGTCAGGGGAGGCAGGGTCCCCCGGGGGCAGCTCCAGTCCTGGGGGTCTGGGGCTCAGGAGCAGGTGCATGAGGTGCTGGCCTACCACTGCTTTCCTGGGTGCCTGCCCTCCCCGGCCCTGGCCGTGCCCAAGGGTGAAGCAAGAGCGGGGATGAGAAAGCTTGTCTCTGTGTCCTCACCTCCAGGCTCTTCTGGGCTCTGGCTTCTGCTGTCATGCCCTGGGATCCGTGCTCCCCTCTTGTTGAATAATTTCTTGGATACTCACTGGGGAGAGGGAGCCAGAGACGCTTGTTTCTAACCCATTTTGACAGGACCCAAATGAATCAAATCCATTCACTGATACAGAGTCCTGCGGGGGGGGGGGGGCGGTTGGGCATGTCGTCACTTGAGCCATTGGTGTCCATGACCTCCCAGATCATCGGGCGTTTGTGAATCATTCTGAGCCCTGGGCTGGCCCTGGCTTCCTTATCGAGGAGGTTCTGTTCTGATGCCACGGATTCTAAGACTCCAGGAGGGACCGATGTGGGTAAATCTTGAAACCCTAAAGTGAGGGAGGCCTTTGGCATTTTTTTCTGGCTGCTTCTCACTTGGAGGAGCTCTGTTCCAAACCAGCAAACCGCCTCAGCCCCACTGGAAAGGAGGCTCTTCTTCCCCAGTGAGAGTAGCTGGGGGCAGGGCAAGCAGCGGCTTCACCGTCTTGTTGCCAAGACGAGGAATGAAAGCGTAAAACCATCCATTAATGGCACGGGGCCCACACAACAAGGGTCCCGAGCAAGTGGTAGCAGCAGGTGCTGGCGCGGGCACGTGGGTAGGCTCGTGCACAAAACGAGCTGGGTGTGGGGCAGGGCCAGGTGTGACAGGTTTGGCAGCCCCCGCTGCGTTTTCATTCTGGGAGCACAAGGAAACCAGGGGAATGCTTTAGGGAGAGCCGAGGGTCTCAGTGTTTGGTGGGTGGGGGGTTGCCGAAAGAGATTTGCATGGTGAAAAGCTCACCCACCTGCCTGCAGGGCTGACCGAGGAGGGTCAGAATGGAAGGGCAGATGTGAGGCCGCTGCGTCACACACTTGTCCCCCAGCCTGGAAAGAATTGCGGGTTGGGCTTTGCCTGAGAGCTTTATACAAGTAATAGCATGAATGATCTATTAACAGTAATGTGAGATACGACTTGAAGCGTAGCCTTTAACTGTGTCTTTGTCCGACTGTGACAGAACGCCACAGACGGGGCCTGAACAGCACACGTTTATCTCTCACAGTGCCAGATGCTGAAGGTCCAAGGTCGGGGTGCTAGTAGTCTCAGTGTCTTGTGAGACCCCCTAACTGGTCACCAATGACATCTCGCTCTGTCCGCACTTGGTGGAAGGATGAGGAAGGGCTTGGGGTCCCTTCTATTAAAGCTCTAATCCCAGCCTGGGGCTCCACCCTCCTGCCCTACCCACCTTCCGAGGTCCCCCCTCCAGACACTACCACACTGGGGGTGAGGACTTGAACATGTGAATTTGTGGGGGGGGCGCAAATATTCTGTCCATAACACTTAGGCTCACAAACTTTTTTTTTGTTTCAATGCACATGTTGATTAAAAATTTTTTTTCTGGGGCACCTGGGTGGCTCAGTGGATTGAGCCTCTGCCTTGGGCTCAGGTCATGATCTCAGGGTCCTGGGATCGAGCCCCGCATCGGGCTCTCTGCTCAGCAGGGAGCCTGCTTCTCCTCTCTCTGCCTGCCTCTCTGCCTACTTGTGGTCTCTCGCTCTCTCTGTCGAATAAGTAAAATTAAAAAAATTTTTTTTTTCTGATGCAAAATTATTCCAGCTCATCATAAAAAATGGAAGACTTTTTTTTTTTTTTAAGATTTTATTTATTTGACAGAGAGAGAGACAGCACAAGCAGGGGGAATGGGAGAGGAAACAGGCTCCCCGCTGAGCAGGGAACCCAATGCGGGGTTCGATCCCAGGACCCTGGGATCCGGACCTGAGCTGCAGGTGGACGCTCGCCTGATGGAGCCCCCAGGCGCCCCAGACCGGAAGCATCGTGGTTACACATGTAACGTAAGAGGGACGTTCTCCGTGTGCTTTTCTCCGGGAATGTGTATCCTTCTGGATGTCCAACGTGTAGACTAACTTGCATTATGATGGTGATGATAGTGATTATTATCTTTTACCAAAACAGGATCTATTGTCTTGCAATCTATGAGAGATACAGCTTAGGTTTCTTTTCACGTCAGCGGCTTGGGGCCTGACCGCTGCTGAGCAGAAGCCTACAGGGAACACAGCACCGGAGTCGCCCCCAGACCCCCTGAGTTAGAATCTGCGTTCCACAGCCCCCAGGATGACCCTGGGCATCGGAGAGGCCTGATTTGGGATCCACCACTCTTTCCCGTGGCTTGATGGGCTCCTCTCTCGTAGCCGGGTGCTAATGAAGAATATTCATGGTTTCCTTTTGAAAACCCAGCTCTTGCTCTCCTAACAAACACCCTAGCACACGTCTTGTGTGTGTCTGCAGGGCTTGGGCACAGGCTCCGCACCACCATCATCCTGGAAGTTGCTTCCAGGAACTGGATACAGGTATTTTTGGAATGCATTGATAATGCCACATTTGTGACCCCAGAGCTGTGCCCGTTTGTGCTGCAGTTGTGGGAGTGAGCCCCTGTCCCCGTAGCCTCTCCTTCACAGCTCCTCTGGGGTTTCATCTTCGCCATCTTGTGGGTGACCTTGTCGGTGGCCCTTGGCTGCGAGGTCACACACACGCCCCTTCTTCTGCCTCCTTCACCACCCGGCCTGCTGAATCCCAGCCCAGACGTCTTCCCCAGCATCCACACTGGTGCCCTGCCGGAGAACATTCAGCCAGACGAGAGTCTCCTCCTCTCCATCCTGGTGGCCCCTGCCCTGGGCATCTCCTGCCTTTGGCTCTCTCCAGTCCATGGGCTGCCAGAGTGCTCAGTCTCACCCTGAGTCTCCCCTTGCCGTTCTCCCGCGGATGATCTTTCGTGGCTCCTGGAAGAACCAAGTTCAAAGCCTTCCAGCCCACTTGGGTCCCTGCCCCCGTGCCCCCCACTGGTCTCCCTTCTGCACGTGTCCTGGTTTGGCAGTTCACTCCGTCTCGTACCTCCTTGACTGCCCTCTGGCTGGAAGTGCCCCTTCTGCACGATCACCCCCCTGCTTCGCCCAGACACAGCCTCCTGCTTCCCTTGACCGCTCCCCTCTGTCTCCCCAGCCAGACAGCTCGGCTTCTGTCTTCTGCTTGTGGCAGCCATGTGTGGGCCCCAGACCTGCTTCTGCTCCTGGCTGGCAGTGGCCACTCAAGTATTTGTTGGAACGCCCAGGTGCAGTCACACCGGGGCAAAAAAGAACTTTGAGAGTCTTTCCCTCGCTACGTTAATCAGCTACGGAAAGTCTGGGTCCGGAGCCGCAAGGTCCGGTCTCCCTCTTGACGGCACTCGGGCGGCGTTCGGCCGCAGCCCCCAGGGGCAGGTCAGACGTGGAGAAGGACATTTCCGTGGGAGGAGCGCCAGGGCACCTTGGCTCTTAGACGAGCGTGCACGGGCCTTGAGTGTTGTGTCTGGTAGAGGTCGGCCGTAGGGTGCCCGCCCTCGCACACCACTCTCCGGAGGACTAAGGAGTTGTCCCTGAGGCACAGACCTGCGCTGACATCTCTCGTGCAATAAAGAAAAGGAACAGAGTCGTAGTTGTCTGTTGTGATCTTCAGTGTTTTCGTTCACAAGCCGACTGTTTGTCACACGGAGACACTGATCTATAAATAAATCTGAAAGCCGTGATGCAGCTGGGCCTTTGCCGTCTTCAGGCCGAGGCGATGGTCTGTAAATATATTTGTCTGTCATTGATCCCTTCATTATTAATGCCATGGCTTTCATTTTGGTGATCAATCTCATTCCTGATTACCGAAGTCCTTAGGAAACCTTCGTCCCCGGGTACGGGCCCCGCGGTCAGTAAAGCGCTGTCTGCTTCTGGCTCTATTTCAGATGCGCCATTAGATTTCATTACTCCTTCCTGCTCTTTCTGTACGTGCTCCCCTCTCAGCGGCTTCCTCCCGTCTAGAGACGCTCCCCTCCTTTGCAGCATTGCCTAAATGCCCTTGAATTAAGGCAGTTACGGTCTCCTCGTGGGGCCTTCACCTTCTTGGTCATTGTTCTGCCTGTTTCACTAGTTCTGCAGGATTTCTCACTCTTTTCAGGAGCGAAATTGCTTTGCTGCTTCCGTGCAAGGCTTGGTCATCAGGCAGGCTTGTGTCCACGCAGGGCAATCTTGGACGTGTGCTTTTCCCATCAGCATCCCTGCGTGAGATGGTCTGTCCTGATGTTTACTGTGCTCTGGGCCAGGACAGACTGAGGACGTCCGTTTTTACGTGGACTTATAAAACTCCATTTTCTCCACGGCTCTTTGGTCTTGCTTATGCCGTGTCTTGCTCGCACTAGAGCTAGCTCATCATCATTTGAATTTTGAAATAGATTTTTCAATTAGCCTAAAATCCTACTTAGTATCATCGCTGGCTGAAATCACCAACCCTTTAATATTGCTCAGATCCCAGACTCGGTGTAAGCATGGTCTTCTCCATCCTCGCTGCGTCGGGGGTGGGGGGGCTGTGAAGGTGACAGCTCATGCGGGTCGCAGGAGATGTGCTCCAGAGGCCGAGGCTGGAGTCCCTGGAGGCCAGCGGCGCGGCTGTACCATCCCGCCCAGACATCCCCAAAAGTAGCGACGTGCCCCCCAGCTTACTATCCAGCCTCCCCCTGCCCTTTCTCCCAGGTACGCCTTTTCATGCAGCTAGCCACACACGACCTCTGTTTTGAGATTGACCTTGGGTCCTCTCGCTCAGAAGGCCCCACACCCTCTCTTGGAGCATTCCTC